CATGGTCTGGCGGGCCAGGCTGAGGGGCCAATGCGACCAATCCATCACGCTGTTCTCAGAGGCTGGAACACAGGATGCAGCGCGAAGCGCCTAGCTGAAGAGGACACGGTTGTGCGGTCAGCGATCGCGTAGCACTTATCCAATTTTGAACATTTTGGAATCATAATCTGTTGGAATTCATGTGGTCACATGTGGTGTATACATATTTAGCCATTAGAATTCTTGAAGAAAGAACAAGCCTGATGCATCCGGATGCAAAAAATACGCGCATACACTACGTACACTAGATCATACTAGATCGAGCGCAAGGGACGCTCCATGCCCGGACAGAATCTGGCACATCAAATGAACCTGTTGAGAAACAAAAGCTAGCTGCCCACCTGAATGTTCAGGTGATTTGCACGGCAGGCTGACAAAGGATTTACAGAAAACGGCTGGCCGGCAGAAAAGAAACATGTGGTTGATTGAACCGTCGACTGAAAGTTCATGGGAATCCTCTCAATCTAGCGGTAGCGGTCCGAGCAAACATATCCTTACCTAGCCTTCTCTTGTAAATTTGGATTTGCCAAGACTTGGAAAGACATAGGTTGCCCCAAAGGCTCCATTCATGAATCATGAATCAACATCATGCCTCATGGTTGGCATGCTTCACCACGACACATTTCAAAGGCGTGTGAAGCAAGTCTGAGCAAGTCTGTGAGACCATCAGCTCATGTGAGCTTGGTCTGTTTTCAAGACCATCAGCTTGGTCTCTTAGAACATTGCTTTGATATTGGAATCAAAATACAATCGCCAATAGCTGAAAGATGCTGAAGCTGCCTACACCACCACCAAGCGGGCCGCCCGCAGCGGACAAGGACACCGGGAAATGCTGCGGTACATAGTAGGTATAGGTAGTTCATCTACTTGGAAGCAGGAAAACCCTTCCCCAGGAGACTCATGTGCGTGAGGGAACCTGATCATCACCCGATCAGCAAAATCAGGTCAAGAAACTACTGTATACATAGCAGGAGTCACATGTCGGGGTGCCGAACGTGGTGGATAGGGGTGCCAATTGTCCACTCACCTATAGCCCAGTTCAGGTCTAGGTACCTCCGTACTTCGGATGGTCGAACGGAGGTGAGTTCGTACTTCTCTGGTCGAACGGGGTGGTCGTCCTGGACCTCCGAGATGGCCGGATTGTCCTGGACCCTTAGGCCCTTATAGGCCCTTAGGGTAGGGACTCAAAACCACCCCTCTGTGCCTCACATCGAACTTCTTGGTCTACGAATCGGCATGATGTCGGTCTACGAACCGCTCCTGCACCCGACACTTCTGTCTAGGCTGTGGGACATGACAAGTGCAGAGCGCCTAGAACTTCTGGATCTGCGGATGGCCAAGTTGCTCGCCAGTGCAAACCCTCAACGGCGACGCCGCGTAGCGCCTCGTAAACGAGCAGTAATGGTTGCTGGCCTAAATATCCCAAGAAGCGGGCACTGCAGAAACCACCGGCCTGGCTCTTGCGACCGAAAAAAAAGATGCATCTTGCGACCCATTCAAGGAGTTCCGGGGCGGTGGCTCTGCGTCGACCCCCTTCAGCCACGAAAACCACCACGCTGGCCCTTCCACCCCACTTCACGTCACCTCTCTGGTGGTTTTCAAACGTGACACACTCCGTCGGCCAAACGTGACGTCGACCGGGTCAGCGCGGTGCGAGCGGGGAAAAGCGCCCGCCGCAGTCCCGTCCAGGACACGGGCGGCCAGGGGGTGCTTTTCGTCCCTTCCAATGACTGTTCTTCAGCGCTCATGAGGCACCGGGGGTGGCTTTCTCCGGGCTCCAACTACCTCCGTTTCGAAGATGGTTGGGGTGGGTGCCAGGATGGCCTAACCACCTTCTGAGGATATGCTTGGAGCCCTATAGGGTCCATACCTCCATGCGCCAAGTGTGCAGTCACCGCCATGGAACAACGTCAAAAACACGCACGGCCGGCCTGGCGGGTCTCCGTGAGTTTGGGTGGCCGTCCGTGCCATGGACGGCACCCAGTACCGTCTCTTTCAACGGATCAAAGAGTGCGGATGGATGTGTGTCACACCGACTGCACCATCAACCGCTCAGTAGTCTCTTTCTTGATGCAAATTCCATCAGATTCCCACATCTCAGCCCAGCAAGAAGGGCTAAGATGTGGACATGTTACCGAGAACTAATATCCTTTGAAGTGGCTGATCATATCCTTCCCAGATGGCTTCAGACCAAGGGCCTTCAGAGCCTTCATGTCAATTTGCACCGAACCAGCTGTGTGCTTCTCGGAACTTCTGAAGGGCTTGCAAACGAACACGCCCGCGTTTGCGGGTTCGCCGCAAGTGTGCATTCACACTCCAAAGGTTGGTCACACGGCTTTCGCTTGCCGGTTCCGACCTTTCGACAGTGACAGGCCAAAATGACCACATTTTGTGAAGAGTTGCGCGTAAACGACCATCAGCTCCTGCTTCATTTCCTGAGTTGGCCTCCTGGCCAAACATTTCAGGCCTTCAGAAAAATGTGAGATATCTTCCCGGCAAACTGCCCTAATGTGAGACATCTTCCGTGACAACGCTCACCTGAAAGAAAGCGCTTCTTCCAAGAAAGCATTTCTACCTCACCAACATTGATTTCTAAGCCCGACAAAGGATGAGCGAGAAACAGTCACGTTGCGCCCCGCAGTGCATCAAGCAATCACATAACAAATCAAAGGATGTCGTATTTCTTTCCCGCAGGCAAAGCCTGGCTGTTCTGAGATGCTTGGCCACGAAGAAATCAATCAACTATGGGACGCTTCAAACAAATTTAAGAAATCCTATCTGGGACAAGTGCATCAGAATCATGTATCACATTCCTTTGGGGTTTAGATTTGCCCACAAATGATAACGGAAGTTACATAACAACAACCACTGGCCGAATCTTGTGAATCTAAGCCCTTCCAGGCCAACAGCATCATATCTGCAAGCACCGCCGACATGCTCACCTGTCGGTCTTCACCCCTTTTGCCTGATTACTCCTGATTCCTGGTGCGTGGGTTCTGAGCATCAGGGGCAAGGCCGGGCAAGGCAAACACACATGCTAGCCGCTGCAAAAAAATCAAGGCTTCCTGACTTGTAAGCATCATCAAAACGCACAGTCTCTTCCTACGATTAATCCAACATCCCTCTCTAGTGCTTGGTGAGCAACGTAGATCTGAAACAAAACTACAAAACCAGGTTTTGCATTTACAAGGTCGGAATCTGCACGCTGCAACTTCAACACGCTGCCTTTCCACCTTTGAAGCTGTTGCACTCAGTGGAATATCGTCCACAGGTGCCTCCAGGAACGACAATTTTCTTGGAAATAAAGGAGAACACATCAAATGCAGCTTGTGTTCTCCGGCTGTTCTCCAGCACGGCTTATGTTCTCCAGTGAATATAATTCGAGTGTTGGCTATGGATCGCACCGGCCGCGTCAGCCTCCGTCGCCCAAGACCGGGTGTGCCAAGAATCCGGGCTACGAGACATCGAAGTGACTGGTTGGGCGCAGCTCCGAAGTGACATGAGATCGTGGCGCAGCTCCGATGCCTTCCGAATCGGAAAACCACCGGAGGTCTCCCGAGACGTCCTTCGGATCGGATCGTGAAAGGAACAAGAAGCGCATCGATGCGTCGACCTGCAACCAAGAGAGGTTGAGAGACCAGAACTAGGACCCTGTAGTGGTACATATGGGATGGGCATGGATGGGCTATAGGGCTGTTCAACCTCTCTTGGTAACCCAACCAGATCTCAGCACCTGGAGGCCGGACAGCGCCGAGGTGCAGCGCCGATGTCGGCAGCCACAAACGCAGGTATTTGGATGACTCACATGCAAGAGCTTGATTGGGGCTTGTGAACAGGTGGATCGACTTTAGCGCTCGTCGACGTGTTAGCTAATTGGGAGGAGGGAAGTGCCGTGTCGAAGAAAGGAAGATGGATGAGCCGGCAAACCGAGCACCGAATGGAACCATCACATTAGTTCAGCCTCCACAACTCTACAGTACGGTGTCGCTTGGCTGTCGACAGTGCTGTCACATGCAGTTTCCTCACGCAGCTGGCTGGGAATTAGTTCAGAAGACAGCCGGCCGCAAAGGATGCAAATCACAGCACGTCCACACAGCAGAATGTCGTTTCCGCTTGTGGGCAAAGCTCTGACAGGATGCTCCGGTCGGCCTGCACAAACAAAAGAGAGAGAGAGAGAGAGGGGGTTCCAAGTCGAATCATCCAACAAGAAGTGTGCCCTTGTCAAACTCCAAATCAACATCCCCTCAACAGGGCCTATATGAGATACTCATTGTTGTTGCACTGAGATCTGCACAACATGCTGAATTGTTCCAAAGTTTGGGCTCTCCTTGTTCTCGCGCCTTCTTCGCACAATTTGTCAACAACGGGCAGCGCAACATGTTTCCAGCCATTCATATGCTAGGCACCTGTTGTTGACCCACGCCACATACATGTGTACTCCTCTTGGCATGTAATTAGTTGAATTGTCAAAGGACAAATAAAGGACTCATTTATTTGTGATCATCTCTCTCTATAAACCCCCAACTGGATCCCGGCTAAAAATGCATTGGAAACCGTTTGTATATTATTTGGGGGCCACTAATGTGAAACAATCTGACTGATATATGCAAAGGACTCATTTATATTTAAATTTGTGATCATAATTTCTTTCTATAAACCCCCAACTAGATCCCCACTCAAAATGTATTGGAAACCGTTATCAGTTATATGGGGTCTACTAATGTGAAACGATCTGGCTGATCTATGCCTTGAACCTATATGGAGCCTTGTAGCTTGCGAACAGCACATCATATATATGGTAGAATATGGTAGGCATGGATGGACACATCTGCTGCCTGGTGGTTGTCCAAAACGTGGCATTAGTGCTCAAGGATGCTCAAGGTTTCATGTTGTTTCATGAAGTCATGAGAAACCTTCCCTACTTCCCTCGCTTCGTCCCTCACCGGTCGCTCGGTTTCTTTTCGCCCTTCCCCGAGTCGGTTCACGGGTCGCCCGGGGAGCGCCGAACCGAAGCCTGCTGAAATCATGGGATCCCCGAGGGGACCTGTGTTTCGCATCTTTTGCTTCGTATCAAGGAAAAACCAGAGACATCCACCAGGAGTCACAGAGTTGGGTGGTTTTGTTCGTCCCATCCAGTGAGTGGATGGATGTTCTGGGCACCCAACTCCTTCCTCCGTTCGTTCGGCACCCCGTCGAACGTGACGGCTGGCAATGAAGGACAGATTCGACCATGAAGGACCTGGAACTTGACCTGCTTTTTGACCAATCCACGCTCTTCGTTGGATTCATTAGAACGTCGTACAGATTCAAATGGTCTGAGCTCCACTGAAGGAAGTCCATCCCTGTGTCAAGGCAGTGTCGCAGGTCATCCACATGCGGCTTTCACGGTTCACCACGCTGTAACTCCTGATGTGAACCATTTCTCAGGGGCATCGCTCGCTCATCGCTCTCTGACACGTTCGACCATGCAGTCGACCTGCCCGGCGCCATCCGCGCCGCTCCGATGGAGTTGGACACCGCCGACCGCGGCGATGAGACCGCCGCTGACCGTCCACTGACGTAATAGAGTCTGCCATGGAGCCGACTGGTTCGTAGCCTCTGAAAATAGGTACGGCTTGAGGTCACGTCCCATTGGTGCGGTTACATGGTTACCAGTAGTACTGTACATGCTTGGGGTCACGTCCCATTTTTTCTAGGGTACAACTCGGTCCACCCGCCGAAAAACACATGTCGAAGAACTCAGTCCGTCTTCACCTGAAGGCGATCGACTGAGACGAGAGAGCACAAACCTGCGGTCCGTCTATTCCGCTGGGGCTCGTTTTGCTATCCATTAAGAGGTCTGAACACGACTTTACGATGATCTGCCGTGCATTCTAGAGTCCTAATAATATATCCTAATTCTTTCAAACATAGACCTATAGTACCAACAGCTTGCACCAACTTTCAGGAGGGTGAACTGCTCCTTGGGGCAGCCAACTCTCCAGCAAGGCTCCAAGGAGCTGTCGGCCATTTCCGCGGGAAATCGCGTCACCAGATCGGCTCCTCCACCGCGGGCCTTGGGGACGACGAGCGGAGTCTTCGAGGTCCACCTGCCGCCGTGGCTGCGTATACCAAAGCAACCAAAAGACCTGTACCAAGAGCCACATGGAGTTGGGTGGTTTTGCTCGTCCCATCCAGTGAGTGGATGGACGTTCAGGGCACTTCCTCCACGTTCGGCACCCCGTCTTGTGAGTCCTGGTAAACGTTGCAATCTTGGCAGGAACTGAAATCTGTAGACGACTGAGTCGACTTGCTCTTTCTCCCCCCCAAGTGCGGCTTTTCTGTAGTAGGAGTCGTGGAATCCTACCTCTCTCTGGTGTAGCGGGGGCCACTGTGGCAACGATGTCTATTTAAGAGGGCAGATTCCAAACATCGTTTGAGCACAAACTGTGGCTGACTTTCCCGCCCAAACTTTTGTACCATCAAGCACTGCCCTTCAGTCAGGTGCGGAGTGGCTGCCTCTCATGAACTCGTGGCTGCGCAGGGGCTCCGCCGTGCTCTTCGCGGTTCAAGCGCGAAGGGGGAGCGTCGGCATCGACGTTGGAAGCGAAAAGACCTACGGCTCAATTTGAGCTCTGCTGGTTTCCGAAGTCAGGTGATTGGGAGTGGCGATTCGGCTTACGACGCGAGTTCCGCGGTGTGGTTCCGACAGATTCTGAAGCAGGTTCCAGGCTCTGAATGAACGCAATCCTTTTGGAGTGCAATGAAGTTTCAAGAATGATCTGCTCTTCACTTCAATGCCTTTCTCATCTTCTTGAGTCTTAAGACGTCGACGGGCACTTTGAACTGGGAACTCCCGAGTTCGAGCACCTCATGTTTTTTGTGCTACACGACATGAAGCCCGGCTGAGAAGCCACTGACTGGCGGCCGATGAGAAGCCACTGACATGCAGGACATGACATGGAACGCCCACGGAGCGCAACCCAAAGTTATGGATTCATTACCAGAGGTTACGTGACCGTAAAATAGGACCCGGAAAACCTGGGGTACCTATGAGATAGTCTATAGAGTGCTTCAACCTCTGTTGGTATCTCACTCCTGAACTTAGTTACGTAGACCCGAATGTGAGCAGTCTTGGACGCCGGCTACATCGAACCCCAGGCTGAATTCCAGCAAGACTTAGTCTAACAGTTCATCTTCGACATTTCGCTGTGCTTGCGTCAACCAATTGAATGCAGTAGACGTTCTTTTGCGGAGCCGTCCAAGATCACCTAGATCTGTCGAAAGCAAGGCACAACAAAAGCAAAGACTGCAAAATGGGTTAACGCCCTCAATGACGTCAGCCGAGAAGGGCCCCAAGAGTCGACACAGGCATTTGGTCCGCTTCTGGACAGGTCTCACTTGAAAGCGCCTCGATTGAGCACCTCCAAACCTCTCAAGCGGTGTCTTTCAAGCACTTGCTCTTGCCCACTTTGGCTTCTCCAGCGCTCCAGGTCGTTAAGAATTTGAACCACCTCATATCAAAGCTTTCACCCAGGACAGCGTCGCATGTTACAGCTTACTCCTGGCCAGGTTTGCTTCTCTGAAGTGATCCAAATCAAGTTCTTGTCGTTCTCTGTTTTTGTCGGATGTGATTTTATTGTTTCACGTCGGCTTTGCTTGGCATCCCTCTTAAGAACTTGACCGACCTGACATCAAGGGTCTCAGCGAACGACGCCAAACATGAGGCCGCACATGAACCAAAGGAAAGCACCGCTGAAAACTGCCACTTTTGGAGCAAATCAGAAGGCCACTGGTCTGTTTGCCAGCCAGGAGGCGCTGATGGGAAATGATGCTGGTCTTTGTGGTGTGACACCTTGCAATCGCTTCGAAGTGCCCTATCTGCGGACTACTCCTATGATCGCTTGAGCGCAGGGCGGACTCGCGGTACGGCGGACTCGCGGCCCTTTAGCCATGAAACTTGGATGAGTCGCGCTTCAGGTTTGGGGGAAGAACTTCAGGTCTTGACTCGCGGCTTGGTATCTCGCGGCTTGGCATCTTCAAAGCCATGTGACGTTGATTTAGTTGTTGGACCAGTCTCGAGACACCTGCCACGAGATCCTAAGCCTCCCACCTTCTTTCCTTTCGCTGCGCTTCCTCTTCTCAGGAATGGATACTCAATCCCACTCAGCAATGGATACCGCCCCCGAAACTCGGCTGAACCAGCTGGACCTGGACCTCCTAAACGAACAGGGTACCTTCGGGTCTTCCTGTGAGAAGCCCACGAAACAGCTGGAGTGAAGCAGTGAAGCCAACAATCGGAGAAGCCAAGATCACAGCTGGAGCCGGTCGTAGCGGTCGTAGCATGAAACAGCTCCAGGAGCGGTCGTATGCGGTCGTAGCGGGGAGGGTGGCTGATGGAAGCTTCCAAATACGGTTGATCCAAACACACCAAGCTTGAGCAATCAGGAATGCTTCCAAGACTGAAGAAAACACATCCTCAGCATCTCTGGCAAAAATAGTGCCTCCGATTTTGCTTCTACTAGATCCTGAATGGTCATAGATCGAGCTAATGCTCCAAACAACAAACTCATGAATCAAGCTTTTCATCACGCAGCCCTGCTACCCAAGGCCTTCATCTCATTAGAATCTGTCAAACAGCGTAGAACATGTTCATACCAAACATGCAAATGAACTCGCTTTCGCCAAACAGTGTCGGCAGTTAGTATTCCTGAGACAAGGAATCGTTGGAATCGTGCTTACATGGCTGGGCACTACATTAAAGCTCTTCGCTTGGAACACAAATACAACATCGCATGCTTTAAAGATTGTGAACACCTGCCGAAACGTCTTGTTAACGTCGTGCTAGTGTTCTTCAAGCTCTGGTTTCACATGTCGACAATATGTCCCAGACAACTCGTCAGGACCATAGTCGTCAATGAAGGCCAAACGAGTTCATGTGCGCAAAATGGATAAGCTTTGGCCCAGTAGCGTCCGCTAAGCTTTTGTAGTTGTGAGACTTAATATTTAGGTCTCGCATTTGTACGCACAAATATTTAGCATGTGAGAAGCCAAGGCCAAGGGCATGCCAAGGCTTGTGCTACTGCTACTTTTGTAGCGTGTTGACTCTCTTGCCGGTCTTAAAGCTTTCCAACTCAGAAGAACTGCATTGAGACTTAGTAACAGTAACAGCATGATCAGCGCCTGAAACCTTCCAGAGTCTCCAGGTGCCTCGAGAACCTGAACCTGGTCAATCTGGTGTCCAAGCTCATGCTGAGGAATTGGAGGCCAAACTATGATGCATGCAATCATAATCATCCCAGTTTTCCTGTCTGTGGCCTGTTGAGGTGACGAAACTCCAGAAATGAAAGTGTCTTTCTTTGCTGCCACAGCAGTATGAGCTTCAAGTCAAAAGAACATCTGGGAATCAATCAAAGCAAACTGTTGCAACATCCGCAACTCAGCCATGAACTCTTGTGCCAGTTTACTGCTTTGGCAAATATCCTGAACCCTCGGGCGTCCTGCGGTCCATAATTGCGAGTCAAAAGGTCAAGGCTGTGAGTTGTGGGGCCAAACATCCTTCACCATCATCTCTTTTGAAAGTGCCTTTCACTTACGGTATAAAGTTATGTGACTTGTGCTGATGCTCAAATGATGTAAGTCATAAATTGTGAAAGTCAGGGTGCTAGCAGCTGCCGTTCTGCAATTTCTGGTTTCAATTGCCTAAAATGTCCCAAACAGCTCCCAAACAGCTCGACAGGGTGAGTGTAGTAGAAGTCCATGATATCATGCCAAAAAGAAAGGAATCATACCAGCCAAGCAGCATCCGATATTGGTCGGCGAGTCAGCAAGTAGCAGTTGTTTCAATTAGGTCTCGCACTTGTATACAATTTCTGTAATATTGAAGACACAGCTTATACAGCCAGATCTGGCATATTCTTTCGAGAAGCTGCACGAACAGCAGGCCTGCGCTACATTGCTAGCCTTTTGACTCCCTTGCTAGTATTCAGGCTTTCCTCCGGGGTAGAATGGATATGTTCCAATCAATTCGTCAGTGCAGTAGAAGTCAATGCAGGCAAAAAAGAGTTCATGCGCGCAAATGAATCTGTGGTTGGAGAATCAGCCATTAGCAGCATAGTCTTTCACATTGCCGATACAGCTACAACAGTTCTGGCATGTTTTGTTTGTGCGAAGCTAAGCTGATAGAAGGCCTGGCTACATTTGCAGCGTATAGACTTGACTTCTCTTGTCGGTGTTTAAGCATTCCTCCACGGAGGACTGGACACTGCAACCAAACTCAGAAACAAAAACTCTTCCACCTGGTCAAGGCTTGGGAACAGCAGGGAACAGCGCCTGAAACCTTCCAAAGTGAACCAGGCACCTCTAAGCACCTCCAGGCACTTGGTCAAAGTCTCCAGGCACCTCTGAGGTGGAACCTAGTGAATCTGGGGCCCAAGTTCATGCACGAAGCTCCAGAAATGGACAGCACGAAGCTCCAACAACACTGCTCGTTTCAGCGGGACAAGCGACAACAACAGTGGCCTCCCCCGGCCAGTCTTTCTTTCCTGCCACAGTATGAGCTTCAAGTTCGGGACACTTCAAGAAAACATATGTTAATCAATCAAGGCAAACTGTTGCAACATCCATCACTCAGCAATTCAGTCGTCTTTTTGTGCGGTTTCGCTGCTCTTGTCTAGCTCGATGTGGCTTTAGCCATCCATAACTAATTACGCGTCAAAGGGCGTCGTTCGTGCCTTGAGGAGCCTGGATGATCAAAGTGTGGAAAAGAACATCCTTTGCCATCACTGCTCGAGAAAGTGACTTCCGCTTTGGTATTACCAAACCTCGCGTGCGACCTGTGATGCTCAAATGATGTAAGTCATACATTGTGTAAGTCAGCGTGCTAGCAGCTGCCGTTCTGCAATTTCTGCTTTCAATTGCCTAAAATGTCCCAAACAGCTCCCAAACAGCTCGACTGGGTCGGTGCAGTAGAACAGATGTCAATGACTGTCAACAACAAGTTGTACAAATGAATCATATCGGCCAAGCAGCATCCGATAATGCTCGGCAAGTAGAAATTGTGAGAAATAGGTCTCGCACTTGTACGCAAATTCCTTAATATTGTCCATACAGTGCAGTTCTGGCATGCTCTTTCGAGAACCTACACTGAAACGAGGCTTGTGCTACATAATATCTTGACTCTCTTACCTGTCTTTCGTTTCTTGGAGGTGAAAGGATACTCCGACCAAACTCAGAAAGACTGCGGTAAGTCGATTTAGTAACAACATGATCAGGTCTCCTGTTTGATACCCTTCACAACGGGGCCGGTCGGCACCTCGCGGAACCAAACGCCGGTCGTTCCGGTCGTTTGGGCTTCGTGGACCGACTCAACTCCGATCCGAAGTCCCCGAGCCCCGCGCCGGTCATGCGCAAGACGAGCCACACGGACGGACGTATGGCTCGCCCCGCTCGACCAGTCATCGATCGGCGTGGTGGCAAGCCACGCGCCACGTGGAGTTGAACAGACAGCGAGGTGGTGAGAGGTTCGGTCTCAAGACAGTGGGTGAAGCCCAAAGGTAGCCGACCAGACCCGGACTCGTCACCGGTACCATGGGGTACCCAACGATCGTCGAAGGAACTCGGGTTCTGAAAACCTCTGGGCCTATTTCTCCAGAATCTTCCGGATGTAACTGGAAAGAGCTGGTCCTTCTGAATCTCTTGGTTTCTCCGCCGACAAATCGACCGATTGGGCTGCTACATGCGACCGGAAGGCCTCATGACTGTGTATTCAAGTTGATTTGACTTAAGGTCATCAGTTACCTCCAAAAAAAGCCAACCCGTGCCATCTCAGAAGTGTCTGAATTGGTCCTCAGCTTCGCTTCATAAGCTGCGCTGCTCAAGTCACGAATTGCAAGTCTGTATGCTAGAGAAAACCCCAGGCTCTGGCTGTCCCAGGTCTCTGGCTTCTCAGGTCTCCACTTCACCTCTCGACGCTGAACCCATGAGACAGATGAGACAAATGAGACCCATGTCACCGACCCATGACACCTCCATGTCTACTCCATAACACCTGGAAAAGCTCCAACTCTTCTAGTCTGGAGGGCGGACCGAACCTGCCAATCCAATGAACCAGCAAGGGCCCAGCGATTCCATCCGTCAGACACGAAACAGTGGTGTAATTATTTAAGTTCATTGTTTGCTTGCCTCGTTGGTACCTGCAGAGTGTGGGATTCTAGCATGCCCATACACTCCATGTATGCCATATATGCCTACATTGACCCCCCAAACCACCCCAATGTAGGCATATATTTCTATACATGGAGCGTCTGGGATGGGTTTGTTCCTATCAGTCTGAGTCTCCGCACATTGAACCTTGCCCAAACAGGTCAGCGCAGCAAACGTTGGCAACTACACGAGCAAACGTTGGCAGGTTTGCGAGTTTGGGCCAAAGCAACATCCACAAAGGCCCTTCGTTGCATGTTCTTTGATCTTGCCAACAACAAAAGTACATCCGCTTGGCAGGTCTAGACGTTTTGCCAGCGCTAAAGCGCCGCCTCTAGCGCGCGCCTGGTGTCCAAGTGTCCATACTCCGCCAGTGTGAAGGCGCTTCTTTTTGCCTTGACCAGGTTTCAGCCCTGGAGTCGATGCAGAACAGATTCGGCTCACAAAGGACATTGGCCCTCAAGTTTTGCAGCCGAGTCATTGTATCAAGTTCTCACAAGAAAAAGATCTGCTGACTCGTGACACAAGGGTGTCGATCCATCCATCTGATTTTGTCCGTGTGTCCAGCCTAAGCGGACATCAACATGGGACCATTATTGGAGAGATTTGGAGAGCTTTCGGAAGCTGAGGAATTCAGGGAAAAGGGGCCTGACTTTGGGTAGCCCATGCATGCTAGTTCAGGCTCATATTTATGTTCAGTTTCTTACTATATGGCAATGGGGAAACCCGTTTTCCTACTATCTGGGGTAACCCCAGACTTCAGCTAACGTGGCAATGTATTCTCAACCAACCCACTGAACGCCACAACCCATCCCCAGCTCCACGATGCATGACTCGCAAGATCGTTCTGTCGTTTGTCAAACATCATTGCAATCCGAAACGAACGAACGAGAAAGGAAAGTGTTTGTTTCCAAGATCAGCTTAGACACCGGCACTCCGCATCTGGAGCTTTACTCACAAGGACATCTCCAAGACATTTCAGGTGCACGAATCCGCCTGTATTGATCAGACTTCATACCGCAACCGCAGTACCAGGCAGCGACCGAGCGAAGGCAGTGTTTGCTGGCGGGTGCACCGTTCGCATGCAGTATATACTGGTACTAAATGCACACACTGTGGGATTGAAACCCTTCCGGGTTCCAGTCTGCAGAACTCACTCTCTCTCCCTCTCTCTCTCTCTCTCTGTCTGAGTCTTTCGATATGCGGTCTTCATAGGTTGGAACGTGCCCAGAACATGCCGAGTTTCATCGTGTCAACGCAGTCACGTCAGTAACAGCACCTAAGACTGCCTTTCTAATGCGCGAGATACTAGATGAAGGCTAGAGCGTTCCCCAACGGGGCAACATCCACAAAGGCACTTCTGCTAATGTCTTTGCATCATGTCAGCAGCAAAAGTATACATGCGCTTGGCAGGTCTGGCATATACTTTCTCTAGGGCTTTAGAACCCACCTGCCTTCAGGCATTGTCTCCAATGCATGAAAGCATGGTCTCCTTTGACCTCAACAAGAAAAGGCCCGCAGGCCAAATGATAGGGAGATGCATTTTGCTGCGCACAAATGACGTTGCTGTCTGCGCAAATGGTTAGTGGGAGGGATGCTGTAGCGCTGCTCACGCTGCGAGAGCAGCATGCGACATGTACGGTCGCGTGAATTGCACAAATCTTGTCACAATGGAGAAAAGGTTGCCAATGACTGCCCACACTCAAAACACCTTTTCCTTTGTTTTCCTTCCCATTTTCCGTATCTACAGGACAATTTGCAACGTTGCCCCATGCCACTTGATCTGGGGGCACCTTGTTTATGACCCAGAGAAGTTCAAATAAACGCAATCTCAATATGCCCGTGTTTCGCGTTGAAGAAAAGCAGCAGCAACAGCAATGACAATGACAACTTTGGTTCATGATTTCGTGACCTTGAGAGTAAGTGCAACCATGCAACACCTAGCCTACTATATGTCTGTCCATGAAAAACCTTGGGTAGAAACAACGTGGGAAAACTACACAATTATTGGCGGCCGGGATTACCAACCTTTTGGCTGCGAACCGGGCGAACATGCCTCAGTTTCAGAGGCCGGATTGCGTCCGCAAGGTCTGAGTGGTCTGACCATGCTGCGGATGTTGAAACCCACCGCCAGCCATTGGATGAAATCCCCTGAGTGCTGCGGGCTCGAACGCATGACTTGCGGACAGTCCATGCCACAGCCCAATTCGGGCGCCGTAGGTCATGCGTCAAGCTGCGGGGCGACCAAAAGAGCGGCGAGCAAGGGGTTGATGTGCCAAGAAATAAGAAGGAGCGCCCAGAACGGCAAAAGCTGCACTTGATGTACTTTATACGACCAGTTAAACTGAACACTTGATGTATCTTACGGGTCTAAAACTGCATGTTTCGCTGCTCTAGCATGCTGGGAACCAACCTTTTGGCTGCGAACCGGGCGAACATGCCTCAGTTTCAGAGGCCGGATGGTGTCCGCAAGGTCTGAGTGCTCTGACCTTGCTGACGTTGAAACCCGCCAGGCACGGACGAACGGGCGGCCCCCGGGTCGGTCGGTCATCGCGCGGACCTCAGGGGTCCCTGCAGCGACGAAGCGGTCGAAGAGGTTGTAAGGGGACCAGGTTTTGGAGTCAAAAAGCTCTGACCCAAGCTGCTTTGTATGAGGGCTTGCACAACATGATGATGCCTCAAGATTACTATCTGATGCTTAGACGTTCATAGCAAGCCATACTGCAAAGTGATTTCTCTACAAAAATCGGGTTCTGTAGGTACCCCAAACTGCCTCATCACAAAATGGCCCCTCTGTAAGGCCCTCACACTCTCCCTTTTTGTGATGGTTAACCTTTTTCTCCACCTGTTCAGTCTATAGTGCTCTATTAGATCAGTGACTGTTTGTGGGGAGAAACCCCAGCCCTTCCAATGCTCAAGGCAGGTGATCCACTTGTAGATCAAGGGATCAAAGCCTCACCTGTAGGCAGTCCAGAGGTGAAGGGCCGGAGTCCAGAGCTGGGAGCTACAGGCAGGCAGGTCCGGTCAGGTGTGGGCTCTTCTGCAGCCAGCCGATCGTGCTGCAGGGCCATTCTCAGGCACAGGACGTCACACCACCTAGCTGTTTTCATGAATACAAGCCTATTTTGGAGTACGAAGTTTCAGAAGTAGTTCAATGAGTATAGTTGAGAAATGGAATTGAGCATTGCTCAAAACCTATCGAGAATTTGTTCTACTGGACTACTGGATTCTTCTTTCGCAAGTTCCTTTCGCAACACTTTCGCGGCTTGCGTTTTGGCCTTCGCGCGCTGCATTCTGTACAAAAGCACTTTCGCAAGCTTTCGCGGACGGAACTGATTTTGCAAGCTTTTGTAAGCTGTCCGGAGCTTTGACAAGCTTTCGCCAATGAAAAGTTCGCGCAATCTTTCGCGAATCTTTCCCGACTGCATGGTTTGCTTTCGCGAAGGCATAATACATTAACCTCGCTTCAAATTGTTACTTGGGAAGTTTTATTTTTTTGTCCCACTGCTCCATTGAGAGATTCTTCACTCATCCTCTTGAAGGGATTGTACACTCATCCTCTTCAGTTGAACTCCTTTCTCATCTTCCTGAGTCGTGAAAACGACCGTTTCTCATTTCTCGCACGCACAAACACCTTCCACCTGCGCAAACCTTCCTCCAAAAGCGAACCAATCAAACGACTTCAGGAACTTCCAACAGAGGTTGAAGGACCCTATAGACCATCCCATAGGTACCCCAGTAGGGTCCTATAAGGTCACTTAACCTCTCTTGGTTCCTAGGGATGTTTGTTCGGCTTGCTCCGGCACTTCGTGGTGTTTACGCCATCACCACGCAAACGCTGATGTTCTAAAGCGTCTGTTTGGCATGACGTGCCGTCAGCATGCTACATCGTCTTGAAGCGGTCCGTTTCGCCAAGCCCCGCCCCGCAGGAAACAGCTCCTCCAATGAGTAAAGGTCCAAATAAAGGTACACTGCTTCTCGCTCCTAGTAGTAAGGCCAGGAGCCCCTCGTAGCGTCCTTGCTCCTAGTTCTTCAAGGAGATCGAAACAAGTCTCGTGACGGTCGTCAAGGCTTTTCGCTGTTGTCGATGGCTAAGGCCACACACGTTTCTCGCCTTCTCTTCGTTTGACGTTTCTTCGTGCGTTTGATGCATTTTGGCAGATCGGCCGGAAGACTTCCGAATGTGAGTGAGGCAGTTAATTTTCTCACACTCACAATACAATTCACCCGTTAGAAAAAAAACAAACAGCTCGACTCAAATCTCATGATTGAATCTTGAACTTGTTCAGTGAGATCACTGTCTTGTAAATTCATTAACAAAATCTGATGAATACTCTGATGAGTGCATACTGTGTCTTAATCCGGAGTCTAGCTGTCAAAAACAAAACGGCTCGAACTTAGCGAGACACCTTTTGCTGCACTGGAAGCCAAAGAGAAGGGTCCAGTCATCAATCACACCAACGAAAGAAACCATCGCATGATGACGCTCGAAAATCATAGTTCAGCGTGTTTTCACAAACTCCTCAGAGGCCGTCGCAATGGCGGTTGCACCGAACTGGCGGTCTTGTTCGTGAACAAAGACAAACGAACACTTGTAGGTTATGGTGTCACAAACTACATCGTTCAGGTGTCGTGTCTTGCGCATTGTGACAGCGCTGCAGAATGCTCCTCACACAGCCCATGGCCTACGCCAAGCCGGCCGCGAAGGATGTGGTCACTTACCGCACATCCACCGGGCAGAGTTCGGATTGGAAGCACCGGTCCGCCTGCGCGCAAAACACGCCGCGTTTCGGGTGATTTCAACAAACAAGTGGATGTTTGAAACGCTCAATTCTACTCAAAAAAACTCTCAAAAAAGATCACTGATAATCAACCCTAAGGTCGTTGCGCTGAGATCTTCGAGAAATCCTGAGGTACTCACAAGTGATTCATTGACATCTTGCAAGGGGCCTCCAGGAGACTAAACATGAAATACATAATGTTACTGACATCCGAAACACCCCCCTGCACACTTTTTGGCGTCTTTTGCTACAACAAAAAATTTTTTGTAAACACAACATTTATTAGGCCGATAATTAGCTGCGTGGCTCAAACTTTACAGATAGTGCAGCTTAGGCGGCGGATTGAGCCAGTGTGATTTCATGGACCCGTTTTTGGTTGCGATTCTTACCCAGGATGATCTGGGAAAGGAGGGCTCTTTTGTGGTGAGGCGACGGCCGGATGGGGTTTGGATCAATCCTTACACCCAGCAGGTGTTCAGAGTGACATGCCCGCATGTGGATTTGCTGGTTTCGCTGCACCTGTTTCGTGTTGTGAAAGTTTCCAAAGCCGGTGTTGTTTCGCTTTCAGAGACCCCCAATTCTTGGATGGTACCACATCGTGAGTCTGGAACTGCTGCTCCTTTGCGCTTTCTGGAGATCTTTTCGAGCCTTGGTGGCACTACTCTAGGCTTTGCTGCTGCAGGATTTGAACCGCTTCTTGCACTGGATCACAAGTCCATTGCAATTGAGAGCCTTGGCAGAAATCGCCATGTTCATCCGATGCTCGGAGATGTGGGGCAACGGCAGGATTGGCTGAG